CTTCTTCATTGTAATTCATGGTATCAAATAGGTCACATATTATGATAATGGTGAATATTTCACCTCCTTAGTCGAAGTAAATTACAAATTATGAATTTGACTTAAGAAAATTTACATATCCGCTATTGTATGTTAGATATGAGCGGATAATAATTATTGCTTTTTTCAACAAAAGCCTTGTGATTGCACAAATTCATCAGGAAGCTAAAAATATAAGTCATTCTAGGATTTCTAACTAGAGAAAACGTCACAAGACAACAGTCAGGCAACAGATAGTTTATTGAGAAAATCAACAGATATTTATAGATTTTTATGTAAATTATTATTCATTATTAGCAGAGAAACAACGTCTTCTGATTGGTTGTTTTCTCGCTGAAAGTTAATCTGTCATCTCTTTGTGACCGTTTGTTTGAAGGTCAGACCACACAGATATCTGCGAATCGTATCCGCCCACGCAAAGTCTGCCGTGATTGGCTGCTGAATTAGTTGTTGTTGTGTTTTTTTCTCATGACCAAGATTTGGGACGTAAACATTGACGTACATTGCTGTCTACCGATTTGGGCTAGCAGACAGCTCTCACCACACTTTTAGCAGTCCAAGATCTTATTTTCTCCTTATGATGTATACTACTTGTCATTATGAGTAGTTTTAAATCAGTGGCATCAAACAACAGAGATTGCCAGCTACATTAAACTGATCTAAACACTAAATGGCCATCCGATTTATTTGAAACCAAGTTAATCTGTGGTGTATGCGAATAAACTCAACTAAGGGAACCCAGTTAGTTCAAATAGTCTGAATTCTAGTTAGCTCAGTTTCTCATTATAGATAAGATTTTATTTTGATGTATCACACAGTGCTGTTATACAGAAATATTAACTGATGACCAAGTTTCGAGCACAAACTACTGCTCACAATCACATCAAGTTACTCACACAACTTTTTCCCTTCATTTATATACATGAGTGGAATTGATGATTAGACATTTGAGTAAAAATCAATATAAGATAATGTGCATTCAGAAATAATAATATGATCCTGAACTTACTCCTAGGACAAAGCTGCCCATTGAGAAAATTATTTTATGAATTCAATTATGCCTCACATCTACTGTCTTTAAATTCCAGGGAAAAATATATAAACAAAAAGATGGTGTAGCAATGGGATGGATCAGCAATATCCCCTATCGTAGCAGATATCTTTATGGACAGCTGGGAAAATATGGCTCTTAATACATTTAATCCTACTCCAAAAATATCGTGGAGATATGTGGATATGACACTTTCACACACAGTGTTAAAAACAGAACATATCTCTAGCTTCTTGACACATATAAACTCACTAGTAGAGGGAATAAAATTTACATATGAATTGGAAAATGAACAAGGAGAATTAGCTATGATTTTAGACTGCAAAATAAAACGAATAGAAGAAGGTGAACTGTACACCAGCGTTTATAAAAAGCCAACGCATTCTACTAATAGATATTTACACTTTAATTCATCTCATCCTTTAACTGTTAAGGCAGGCTTAGTTAAGTGTTTAACCAACCGAGCAGTAGCTCTAAGTGGCACAAGAAAAGACCTAAATGATGAAATAAAACAGATAGAAGAGGCGTTGGTGTTAAATAACTATCCTATAAAATTCATTAGGAAGATCAAAATGGTCAAAAGCAAAATAAAAATAATGGTGAAAGTAATAATGATGAAAACATAAATAAGACGGAATATAAGGCATTTACTGTTATGCTCTATAAGGAGGGGACATGTGAGACCCTACGTAAGATTCTCAATAAAGCAGTAATTAGAGTGGCATTAAAATCTACAAGCTCACTCAGGGAAGACAAGCTCTGTAGGCGAAAGGACCCTGTCGGTTGACCCAATCAAACAAAATAATATAATTTGCAAAATACCTTCCAATGACTGTGAGCAAGGTAAACTAGTAGATCAGAAGCAGTGAGATTGATTACTGAATCCTGCTTGGTTCATCGAGTCTACACCCAACACAACACATGCAACAGAAATGACTCAATACAAATACCAGAGATATGCATGCAAGATATCATTACCACCAGTCAGTCAAATCAGAAGAGGATAATAAATAATCTCAAAATTCTATTTCAATTCACGTACATTATAACATTGTAACAAGTTATTTATTATGACTAAAACAAACACTCGTCTTATTTTCCATCTGACTGCATTTGATGAATAACACTCATATTATTATTTCTGAATGTACATTATCCTATATTGATTTTTATTCAAATATCTAGTGAATTCCATACATACATATAAATGAAGGAAAAAGTTGTGTGAGTAGTGCCTTGATATGATTATGAGTGGCAATAATTTGTGCTCGAGAGGTGGTCATCAGTTAATATTACTGTATAACAGCACTGTGCGATTTATCAAAATAAAATCTTATCTTTAATGGGAGTCAGTTTCTCATCACTTCAATCTACTTTCAGTCAGTTTAAGGAAAACGTATAATCATCCGTTGTCATATAACTACATCTGTCGTAACAAAATGTTATTTCCAGCCGATGATCGCATACGTTTGGTCGAAATCTGTCGAAAGTTAATTAGTTTACTTTTGATGCTTCTCAGATTTCATCAGTTTTATTTCAGATAATTTCTAAGAGAAAAGATGATGTTGACTATTGATGGATGTACTTAGTTGTGCTTAGTCGTACTGTGATTAGACACTAACTAGGAACCAGCACCGCGCATCTAAGCCTTCGGTTGGTGCAGTCTGAAATCTATCAGTCAAGTGTGCAATTTGACTACCAATGTGGCTAAATGGCTCGACATTATAGTGCCGTAAATTGTGTTGTCATTAGGTGGTTGTAACCAATCGCCTGAAAGCCATCAATCTAAGTTTCCTGCTTACTAGCATTTACCAGTCAGCTAGACGTATCTACAGTCTCAAAGAAACTGATGTCCCCTCCCCACCACTGAGATTCGCACTTGTGTCACCCAGTGCTGCACTTAGAGACGTTACCTCTGAGCTATTCTAGCTTGATACTGACCTCTTAAGGGACTGTGTTCGATACACTGATTGGAAACTGGGAAACTCTATGGCGAAATGTCCATTGGCGATTTGTTCACATTATGGGACCGTACATTAGGCCAGTTAGAAATATGGCGTAAGTCATTTCAATGGACTGAAGGAAAATGGCTTCTCCTAGTCACTATGTGCACACACGCACACCCACATACCCACACTTTCCCACTTAATACTAAATGGCAGGGAATTCTAGTTTTCCTACTCTCTTTCTGAGTAACTTACATCAAGACAAAGTGTATCAAAGTCAGAACACACTGAATGTCTTTTTTAAATATCTTACTAACAGAAAAAACTGGTATTATTTGTTACAAAGTAAGGGATGTGTTCAAATTTCAAACGCAGTTTGAAATTATATTTAAGAACCATGATAGGTTAATATGCACAGTAATAGGGTCTGAGAACCATATAGTAAGGGGGTGATACAATTCCATAATTATTTCCTTCCGAGGGTCAAATTATAACTAATAAAAAGATTATATATATATGGGTTACAAAGGTAATAATAGTTGTAATAATAAACAGGCAGTTTAGATGAGAAATATATGCATGAAGACCAAGATAAAGACGAAAGTTTACCGTACTTCTATTGAATATATAGTGCGGGTTTGAAATTTTGGATCTCTATTGCTTTAGCTATGCTCAGATGTTTTAATCTGACTTCCACTTGAGAGAAGACGTTCAGCGAAGAAACTCTTTTAGATGGCAAATTCATTCACATAGCTGTACAATCGCATTTATCCATAATTATTTGTGCGTGTGTGTGTACATGATGTTTATCAAGTTTAGATAATTAATCAGGTAATATAAGAATGATCTAATATAGAAACAAGGTTAATCAGACAGCAACGAAAGTAAGATTGAGTTAGTAAGTTAGATGACGTAATATAATTAACTAAAATTTTTCAACTTAGAACAGGGTAGCAACAGAGGTGATTGCAGATAGAGACTAAGTATAAGTGGGTTAGAGAATAATGCCACTTAAATAAGAACTGAAATTGAGCAAATAAGTTGGATGACGTGACATAAATGACTAGAAATTAAGCGTTGATCAAGTCAGTAACAGTGGTAGTGAGGTGTAGAAATTAAATCGGGTGGGGGTAGAGAACAAAAAGGTTGAAAAATGTAAAATATTACAATTGAGAAGACAAAATAATACTAATGAAGACAAAGAAGAGAAAAAAGATTAGGTAGAATTTACTTGTCGGCTAATAAGATAAATTACGTCCATTGGAAGTGTAGTGACTGAACGAACTTCTTCTGTATGCAGAGTTCACGGTTTAGCAAGTGAATTGCCATTGATTTTGCAGTTTGAAGAAGTCTGACTCGTACTCTTTTAGAAAGACTTCTTCGCATTCTGTTGACGACTTTGAAGTCTGCTTGGGGTGTAGCTTGGTCTTCGGAATCGTTTTTCTCCTTTGTAAAACCATGCTGATAAGTGTTCGTTGATACGTTTGGATAGTGCACGCTGGGTATAACCGACATACCTGGCTCCACACGAGCAGGTGAATTGGTAGATACACTTCCACTTGACAGGTAGATTCAGCGGCAACAGTGTCTTGGTCTATTTGCTAAATCGAAGCACAAAAAGGATAGATTATTAAATCTGAACTTGGGATGTACTTGAAAGATTGTTATATGAATACGTCAGTGGAAAACAACAAACCTGATCGTGACATAGGTAGTTTCTTTTAGCTTCAATCAGTTATATGCTTATACGACATCGCTACAGTTGACGAGGATCAATCTCTAGACACTCAGCAAGAAAAAACAGACAGATAAGTTGGTTCCCCCTTTTTATGTTAAAATCTTTTCTATTAACTTTCATTTCATTTTTATTTGTGATTTGGTTTGCTCTATTATCAGTAAAATTGAATGAATTTCTGTATACCTCGCTGACTTCAACTTCATTCAACTTATCCTTTTTCCCTTAGTCCACTGGTGGAGGAATGGATCAAAAACGTAATCGTGCTTATTTTCAAAAATCATGGAATTATTTTGATGCTTTCATGCTACTGTGTATATGGGCTTCATTAGCTCTACAATGCGTAGAATTCTATGTCACATTCCATTGTCCAATTAGTAATAATAATAATAATAATTTATGTCCGAGTAATGAAAACTTTCGACGTCATTATGGTTTTCTAAGTATGATCCGTTGTCCAAGACCGTTAATATTGATTCGTGTGTTTCGTGCTGTCCTGAGACTTCAACTGCCTCAAGCACGTGTAAAAGCTATATTTCAGTAAGTGTTTTTTTTTGTTGCTTAATGTTTAATTCTTGTTGACGTTATTGTTCACTTGAACTGTTCACTATACTGATGAGTAAAACCTTTGTGAGGCTATAAACCTCCATTGGATGGACACCTGGAAGCTAACAGAAGAGAGGAGAGGTGGATGGTGGTGAAATACAGAAGATGAACCAATTGAAACATGGACAATACAGGGAGAAGCTGAGTTCAATGTCCATCGCAGTATATAACAAAGTGAAGAAACAGAAGAATGCTACGAAAGACAAAAGACAGTTCTACAACACACTGGCAACTGAAGCAGACAGACAGGCCGCAGGTAAAAGACACCTCAGAACATTATATCTAATAGCTGGGTCTCTGTCCGAGAAACCTACATAACACGCTCAAGGGAAAGTAATTACCAAAGAGGAGAGACAAATAAAACAATGTATTGATCACTTCAAAGGACTCTTGAGTCGACCATCATCTGCAAGTCGCCTAGAAATACCACCAACAGCACGCATAGAACTGCCCCCCAATGGACACCTATCCTCCAATGAAAGCAGAAATCTTGAATGCATTCAAGCTACTGAAATCAGGGAAGGCAGAAGAATTGGACTGGGATTCCACCTGAAGCACTGAAAACAGAGCCAGAGACCAAAGACGATAGGCTCATACCACTATTTCAAAAATGAAAATTAACGAGTTCGGTGTGTGTGTGTCTCCGAGTTTGATATAGACAACGAGACCATATGAGAAGCAGATGAGATTCAGTTAAAGAGGATCTCAGAGACCAGGATCAAATAAAGACTGTGTTGCTGAGGTCCCTGTTCTGCTCAGAACCCAACAGAACCATAATAATTCTAAGTTTTTGGATGGAAGTGTATTTCACTAGTAACGATATGATTTTAAAAGAAACTCAATTAATAATCATCTAGGAATGGGAACAAAAATAAAAATAATTGAAAAATAATTGTGATATATGCGTATGTTTGTTTACAGACACAGAATAAGGACAAATTCAGTTTTCTGTGAATCAATATTTGATGAACATAGAGGTGAATATTAGTGATTTACTGTATTGAAATGATAATCATAATTTTTCTTACTTTGATTATAGCTTGATTCCACACCATAATTTTTGGTCCAGGTATGGAATTTTCAGCATGTGCTATTGGTAGCCCAAATTTTGCAGGCCAATCATTGCTTTCAGATGTACGTCGGCAGGGTATCGAAGCCCGAAATGTTCACTATTTTCATGAGTAAAACCTTTGTGAGATTCTAAACCTCTATTGGAGGGACACCTGGAAGCTAATAGAAGAGGGGAGAGGAGGATAGTGATGAAATACAGAAGATGACTCAATGCTAAGATGGGCAACAGAAGAAGAAGCTGAGTTCACAGCTATGTACACTGGCTTCTCATCAGCTGCTTACAGGCCATAATCATTATAAAGTATATCTACAGAAACAGTTCTAACATACTTGCACAGTTACAGGATTTCATCATGAGCTGACATCAGTTAGAGAACCATTGGAAAACCTGGGAGTACTGGACAGCTGTTTCGTCCTAGTTTGGGACTCTTCAGATAGTTCATTTTTAAACAGAAATCAATCGATCAATATATGAATACAGTAATAATATATACATATATACATATATTTATATAATATTAAACACTATTCCCAGCAATAATGATCATACAAAATGGAAACTTTCGACATCACGTAATCAGATGAAAGAGAGATGAAAATATTCAGTTACCAGAACAAAGAAGGACTGATAACTGTTTCTTTCCGAACGCACAAATCAGGTTTCAGGCGCTTTTGATGGAGATGGCTTCAGCAAACTTGACTTTTCGACGTCCACCTCATGACCCGTGTCAAGGAGATGCCTGGCGATGGCACTGTTTAAAGCATTTGTTCCCTTTAGACATAAGCTTTTTGGTATATGTTCAGAAAATCGTAGATATGCCCTTCATTCTGTGCTTCCAGTGTAACTGCTCCAGCAGATACATGTAATTATTAATACACAGTGGGAGTTAACATGAGAAATATATCTATCGATTTTTGATTGCAACAAAGAGCAAGTTGTTCGATAGACGGGGAGGAGCTTAGCTGCAGGATAGGTTCTGGCTAGTGACGTACTCAGTCTTCTGTTGACCATCGCTGCAATATTTTCACCTCTATAATCAAGTTGAATGTAGATTGGCTTTTTCTCCACTGTGATTTGTTTTACATTTGCGACTTGTTAATGAACCTTTGAGGGTAACCACTGGCCTTCAACATCTTTTCAAGCAACACAAATTCTTCCTCTAATTTCTCTATAGAACATATTCTCCTCGCCCTATAGTACAAAGTCTTGACTAGTCTACTTTTAAAGCTATTTGGACAAAACTGTTGTTCTTGCTTTATTGAAATTTTATTCATTAAATCAAATAAATTCCTCATGGGATATTTTCATTTCTCACTATTATTATATTATTAATATTATTGATAAATTGTAATCACTACTTATATCTATCTCTTTTTATCTTATAGGCGATCTACGCATCAAATGTACAATGTCACAGTATTTCTCCTCTTCTTTATGTCATTATACGGTTTTCTTGGTGTACAATTTTTCGGGGATGAATTGAATTACCACTGCGTTTTGAACACAGCCAATGAAACGTAAGCTTTTTCTCTTCTTTTCAATTGAGTTAATAATCCCCATTGTGACAAAAAAACCAACGAATTCAGCGAAGAAAATTCTCTTCTCGACGATTTCATTTTCATAGCGTACAATCGTACATATATATTTCAGGAATCGGTTTGTAGGGATTTTATTTGATTGGTCGGAAGATTATGTCAGGAACTGACATCTATTAGAGAATCATTCGAAAACGTGCAGGAAGCACTGGACAGCACCCACCGCGAGGGTTCGAACCCAGGACCTTCTAGTTACAAGGTGAACGAGTTCGTTAACCATGAAGCCAATGAGACCTGATCCAATGACCAACCCGTAAATCTGAAATCCTGCCAATTCATGAGAAAGCGCGACCAGTTGTTCCTTAACCGATTTCAGCTCATGATGAAACCTTCCAAATAATATATATATATTTGAACAAAGTAACAACTACAGTTTTAGCAGAATAAAATGGTACCATATTTTATTTCGTCGGCTTCTCTTCAGCTGCTTACAGGACAAAAACATTATTAAATGTATCTACAAAAACAATCTAACATACTTGCACAGAGTTCATTTTAAACAGAAATCAATCGATCAATATGCACATACACTAATATATATATATATATATATATGCAAATATATGTAATATTGAACACAATTCCGAGGAATAATAATCATTCACAATAAAAACTTTTCAGTATCTCGCATTAGGATGAAAAATATCCAGTTACCAGGGCAAAGAAAGACTGATAACTGCTTCTTTCTGAACGCACAAATCAGGTTTCAGGCGCTTGATACAAAAGGCTTCAGCAAACTTAAGGAGAATTGAACTCTTTTGCTTATTGACAATTTTGAACGACTTTTCGACGTCCACCTCATGACCCGTGTCAAGAAGATGCCTGGCGATGGCACTGTTTACAACATTTGTTCCCTTTAGAAACAAGCTTTTTAGTATATGTTCAGAAAATCGTAGATATGCTCTTCTTTCTGTTCTTCCAATGTAACTGCTCCCGCAGACAATCAGTTTTTGTTAAAGTTTTACAGTGAGTGGAAATACTAAAGTGTGATAATAATAGTGGTGTATAGGATTATGAGCCACAACTGATTAGATATATGAATGAATAACTAGATAGATAGAGGTCAACCTAAAGTCCAATAGACAGGTGTGAAATAGATGATTGGAAAATAAAGTACTTTCGGAGATGTGAATATGTGAGTCTAAACAAAGCAATAAGAAGACGTAATTTGTCTGAATCGCGTGTTGTATGTATTCGCGCAACACATTTTGAACAATCTGATCCAGCACACACGGACTTGTCATAAGAATACATGTGAAATTAATAAAGATTTAAGAGATGAGAACTGGAAATAGACTTAGGTCAAGTTAAAAGGACATATTGAGGGTCAAAATAACAATGAAGATCACCAAACCAAATAACAAAGGTAACAGTACATCTACCCTTCTGTGGTATCAAAACGAAGTTTACCAAGGAATGCGGTTTAGTGTGATGACAAATTGTTTTTAAACGAATAAAGGGCTTCCACAACCTATAGGATACGCCTAGAACACGCTTTTTAGATAGGTTTAAACGAGGTGGAAACATCAATTTTATGTTCTGTCTCTATATGTTTCGTTATAGAGGAGCTATATCTCGTGTTCTCATCATTAATGGGATCTGGGAAACTATTTGCTTCTGGAGCCATTTGGGAATGTGCTCTGAAACCACCCTTACTTGTAGAGACCAATGAGTCCCCCTATGTATGTGTGTCCACACGTACATTAAAATTGATAAATGCAGTAGGATGTGACGTCATTTTTCGCATGTTCGAAGGGCTTAGATGGATGGATATATTGGCTTCCCATTCTCAATTATTATGATATTAGCTGCATGAATATGTGAATATAATATGATGGAGACATAAGATGAGTGAAATGTTGTCAAAGTGGTGCACTAGATAAGTGTTAGAATATAATAACATAAAGTAAAATGAAATAAAACAAAAATGAGACACGGAATAAAGAAGTACCACACAGTTGTTATGTGAATTGCATAGTTAAATCAAGACCATGGTAGCGAAAGAGATCGTAAATATTATTTTTGTTAAAAAATTTCTGGCTTTATGTTATGCATTACCAAAGACTCCGTTATGCATTGCACTCTTGTACCTTTCGGAAAAGTTTGTCGGACTTTTTAGACTATATTGAACGATGTGTCAGATGCTGCCTGGTCAGTATCGATCTAAATTGTTGTAATATCGATGAATTACTACCTCTACATTCTCCTCTGCTCAGCTAAACGGGGAAGGGCTTTCGCCGAACGTCTCATGTACCTAGCTCCGCAACAGCAGGTGACCATGTAAATACACATGGAATTAGACAATCGAGATTACATTTCCTTGACATTAATGTGCACTAGTGGATGGCTATATTATTATAAACATAAAACAAGGTTAGAGCGAATCCTTTGAGAAAACAATATTGTATAACCTCAATGATTAAAGTGCACTGATTTATATTGATTCGGTATATTCACGCTAATTTTGTGCTGTTAATCGATTATTCAGAAAGAGTGATTATTAGACAACAGTTTCATGTCTGTTGAAGAACTATCAGCATTGCACCACTTAAGATTGATCTTCGATAGGATTCAAAGTGAACAGCCTTCCTCCTGAGTATGTTATCCTTATTTCACTAATCGGAATTAAGTTGTATGTGTTTTCGAATCCTGCCTGTTTGTCAGTGTATTGCAGCCGGAATCAAGCACAGATTTAGTTTTGCTAAAGTTCTTATTATGCACTGCCTTGACCTAGGGTTTTGTGCTTGCTGGTATTGACCACTCTGCAAGCTACATCTGCAACCTTGAATGGATTCATGTCCGTCCTTCTCAGATTCGAACCCACATCATCCAAAGCTGCAGTCTAAGACGTTACCACTGAGCTATTCTGGCTCGCGAGTGACCGCCTCTAGGACTGTAGTGGATACTTTGATTGGACACTAGTGCGATGTGTCTAGTCCTTTTTTCGGTGCAGACTGAATTATATCAGTCGAGTTGATAATCTGAACATCATTCTAGGGGGCTCAATAACACACTGAACTCAGATTTGCTGTTATTAAATGATTGGAGGCTATCGGTAACGTCTCTGACTGCATGTTGAATGTTAGAAGGATATAAGTTCTTTTAAGACTGCACATACGCCTTGCTGACTGGTGAGTGCCAACTAGCATGAAACCTAGGTATTTCAAAGGCCTCCTGTGGCCAGTTGCCTCCAACCATCTAATATCATCAAATCAATGTGCAGAGTGATGGCGAGCTACCTAGAATGGTGGCCACATTGCAAACCTTCAGTCTGCAACGAAGAAAGGACTAGACACATCGCACTAGTTACCAGTGTCCAATCAAAGTATCCACGACAGTTCTGCAAGAGGCCAATCGCGATCCCGAATAGCTGGCTCATTGGTGACGTCTCTGACTGCAGAACTCAATGGGTGACGCGGATTTGAATCTCAGAAGGAAAATGAGTTCCTTTACGGTTGCAGATACGCCTTGCTGACTGGTGAGTGCCAAATAAGCATGAAACCTAGGTCCAAGAGTTCAAGTGGCCGACTGCCTCCAATCATCTAATATCAGTAAGGACTAGATGCATGAAACTAGTTACTTACTACCTGGTGTCTAATCAAAGTATGCTAAAGTTCATGAGTTAAACTTTACTGGTCATATATCCAACTGATTAGATGTGCTGAGTGCATCGGTGGGCCAGCGGTAGAGTGCTGGTCAACGATGCACGTGACCCTAGGTTCGAGTCCCCACTGGCGCACACCTTTACCTCCCTTAGCCGGTTATAATTTCAATTCGTCCCAAACTAGGACGAAACAGCTGTCTAGTACTCCCAGGTTTTCCAATGGTTCTCTAACTAATGTCAGCTCATGATGAAAATCCTGTAACCAATCAAATCCCTACAAACCAACACTTGAAAAGAGGGAAAGTTGGACGTGAGGCTAGCAGCCTCCCCGTAAAAGACACCGCTGCTACTTAAGCTTCAGAGCTCTAGCTTGAAGTCCTATGTTCCCCTCGGAACGCAAAGGGATAAAAAAAAGATGTGCTGAGCTGACAATTTGTTATAATCACATGCCTGTGATAAGTTTCAATAATGTATATTTTCTAATTTTATACATATTTTCTTCCAATTCCTTTTCTTCTCATTGTAGGCATATAACAAAACAAGATTTAGCTATACCAGATTCATATTGTAATCCAGCAAAAAGTCCTGAAGATCAATGTCCAAGTAATATGAAATGTATACGTATTGCTAGTTCTATACAAGATGATGGAGGTTATGCTGGATTTGAAAGTTTTCGTAAGTAAAAAAAAATATACCTTTTCATGAATAATCCCCATCCAGATTTTAATGAAGAGAACAAACCAATTTCTTTTTATCATACATGTTTTAATTTTTGGTTACAGCTTGATGCCACACCGTAATTTCAGTACAAGTATGACATTTTCAGCATGGATATCGGTAGCCCAAATTTTACAGGCAAACCATAGATATCGGGTGTGCGTCGGCAGGGGATCGAACCTCGGACCATGTGCATGGTCGGCGGGAGTCCTAACCACTGTGCAACCGACGCACATGATGACTGTTGCATGACTCATGACTGGACAAAACTTAAAAAACATGAGTTGTTCCTTTTATATATAAACCTCTGTTTATTTTAATTCGATTAATTTTCCTGAAGAATTTCGGACCAGATTGCCGAACGAAACGTTGGAATTAATCATTTCAATTTCGCTGAGATTTTACAAATATAATTTTATAAAAAAACCAAGTAGTTCAGAGAAAAAGGCTATTCTCGATGAATCCAATTTCCCTTTTAGCTATGTAATCGCGTATACGTACAATCTTTTGTGCATGAAATACGCCAGTAACGAAAGTGATTAGTTGTCACAAACGTAGTTGTCGATATTAGCCAGGAGATGAATAAGTGCATTAGGGTTAAGTAATAAGATGAATAACTGAATGAGTCATTTGTAAACCGGATACACATAGAAACGGAGGAATATATGGGATTATGTTTGAGTGATTTGTGAAGAAATACAAGAGTTATAAAGAGTTTGAAAGTTAGAAAGAATAAACAGGGTTTTTTACCATGGCAGTAGGAGTGGTGAACATAGAGAAAACAGACGTGGTGATGAAGATTCCTAGGCAACACCACCAACAGCAACAACAACAACAGACAACAGTCAGCATAAGTGGAAGGAACCTGAAAGAAACAACCTCCTTCACTTGCCCTACCTGGGAAGCATCATTTCAACTACAGGCGGAACTGATGAGGATATCAAAGCAAGGTTGGGAAAGCAAGAAGAGCTTCCACTACTCTCAAGTCTGTGTTGAGGTCAATAGCACTTGGCATCAAAAATAAGATCCGGATTTCAACTCCAATGTGAAGTCAGTGCTACTCACTATACGGATCAGAGATCTGCACTGCCCGTCATAAATTGCATCTCAAACAAACTACAGACCTTCATTAATAGTTATCTTCGCTCAATACCACTCAAGATCAGATGGCCAGCCAGAAAAGATCAGCAACAGGGATCTCTGGCAATAAGCGAACCAACCCAGCAGGAACCGATTGTGAAGCAAATAGGCAGGAAGAAACGGAGATGGATTGGCCATACTCTGAGGAAACCATCAAGTGACATCACTAGACAAGCCATTGCTCGAGTGGAACCCGAAAGGGAAGCGGCGAGTTGGTCGTCAGTGCAAGGGTGACTTGGAGGAAGTCATGTGAAGAGGAGATGAAAACGTGTGGGCAGACTTGGAGCCAGGTGAAGACTATAGCAGAGAACCGAGCGCAATGGAGACGTTTGGCTGAAGCCCTATGTTCCTGTAGGAATTAAAGGGAACAATAATAATACTAATAAGTTGGAGTGGTTGCGCAATTTCCTTTTGTGTGCATAGCTCCGAAGAAACTGTATCCTCACAGTCACAGGGCAGTCTATGTCTTTTGGTATTTATATCGTGCAGTGAAGCAGAAAACCTCACTCAGTTTATTGGCTCGATAGTTTTATAGCCGGTCTCAAACCCGAGGAAAGAGGGAGGGTTGGGCGTGGTGCTAGCCACTCTAATCCAGAAAAACAATCAAACTGCTACATAAACCTCAATGCACAAGAAATATATTAAAAATACAAAAATGGTTTTAGAAACTTATTCTTCACTGAAATCTCAGGGACAGAATGACACGGGCTGCTGAAAGTCTTCGGGAAAGACAGTCTGCAGATGTGTCTTCTCTATACGTGGGACGCACGTACTATGTTCGAAGTGAATACAGAAGTAATGTAAGGCTAGCTATTGTCACCAGTGATATTCTCAATTGTGGTGGACTGGATCATGCGTCAGACTGTGCACAGGGAATGAGAAGACAGGAATAGGTTGAACCAGCAATCAGAAAACTCTAGAAGATCTGGATTTCTCCGATGAGTTTTGTCTAATGTCACACAGAGTCGGAAACCTTCAGGCGAAAACAAACAAACTTGCTGAAGAAAGAGAAGGCGAAGACAGAACTCCAAGTGGACACAGGAAGGATAAGAGTGAGAAAGATTGCTAACCAACCAACAGCAACAACAACTAATACCATGAGTGGGATATATTTGACAGAGGTTCCTTCCTTCACTTATCCAGCCAAGAAGCATCGCTTCAACTACAGGCCAGAGCAACGGATGAAGATGTCAAAGCCAGCCAGCTAGCCAGCCGGCCAGAATCGGAAAGGCAAGATACGCACTCCTTAATCAACGTGAAACCAGTATGGAAATCTTCTCTTGGCACTTAGCCTCAGAAGAAAGAACAAGATTCGGATTCTGTTCAACAAAAATGTGAAGTCAGTCTGTCAGTCACCTCTTCTATACGGGTCAGAAACTTGCACTGCGTGTGCATCACGAAAAGGATTCCCAATATAATACAAATCTTTATCGACTTCTGCTGTCTTCGCTGGCTCCATACTCAAAATTAGATGGCTAGCCAGTCGGCCAGAAAGAATTGGCAACTTGAAACCTTGGCTGGCAACAAACGAAAAAGGCGAGAGCGATTGCTGAAAAAATATGTGGGGGAAAATGGAGATGGGCTGATCGGGAGTATGGTGAGGAGGCTGTGGAATGACATCACGCTCAATGCAAGCCATCGCTCGAGTGGAATCCCAGTGGGAAGCGGCACCGTGTGGATAGTCAGCTCGAGGGTGACATGGAGTTCGTTTGGCGGGGAGGAGGAGGATGAGATAGGAATTTATGGGCAGTCGTGAAGCTAGCCAGTTAGAGGGGACAGCAAGAAAACAGAACAAAGTAAAGATGTGTTGTTGAAGACCCATATTCTACTCAGGACACAAGGGAACAATAATAATAATAATGCATAGCTCCGGTTTCTCTGCCTGAGTGGCTAAAACTTCAGTTATACAAGGCAGACGTAAGCATACTGTCTTTGATGGGTTGCTTTTTATTCTGCGGATGACTTTCAAGGATAACTTTGTCGAGAGAGAGAGAGTGACCAATTCTGAAAAGCTGTTGGTTTACTGCACTCCTTATAAGGCCACTGGCCTGCAACCATTCGGGATAGTGTTGCTGAATCAATGTAGGCAGTATAAATGTTGAACGACCAGTATATCTAGCCCTAAAAGAATACGTCAACCGATATACATTTACCTTCTTAAGGTTTCGTTGAGGGATTTTAGTTTCATGCGATTGCAAAGCCATAGAGGAGAATGAATTCGTTGAAAAAAGAGCCTCTTCGGTGAACAACCTGGTTTGTTTTGATTAATACAATTCTCTTGAAGGTAACGTCAGGGAAAAAATATAGAGAATTAAACGATATTTATGTTTCGCCATTATGCAAAATGCTCTTGTCAGTATCGCTGTCCATAGAATCAGGGCAAATATTTTTGCACAGTATGATGAAGAGTCTGCTAACCGTTGTAGCCAGTTACTAGGATTTACTATCTCACCTAACTTATCTCTGTGGTGAACTCATTATTCAGTTGTCTGTTCTTTCGAAGAAGGCCATCTACGTATAGGATCACTAAGGTTGATGGCAAGTAAGTATATTCATTGATGATATTTATCTAAATGGTATGAATACTGTACAGTGTATCTGTGGGTCAAAATTGTTGAAAGCACTATCCAATGGTGTTTATACACAAAATAATAAATGTGAGATTTATATATTTGATTGGATGGAGGATTTAATCATGAGCTGACATCATTTAGAGAACCACTGGAAAACCTGGGAGTACTGGACAGCTGTTTCGTCCTAGTTCGAGACTCTTCATCAGCACGCACCCGCCGAGGTTCGAACCTAGGGCCTTCCGGTTACACGGCGAGCTAGCTCGTAGACCATTTAACCACTGAGACACGATTCAATGGCCAGCCCGTGAATTCCAACTTTTGCCAGTTCATGACATAGCGCGACCATTTCGCAATGTCTTCTTTGATGAGTTACTGCCTCATCTTCAACCTGCTGTACCTTACTTGTCACGGCTTCACACTAGAACCCCAGTTAACTGCGTGAATAAGGCCAGTCGCTGGTGAGTATCAGCTCATGATGAAATCCTTCATTCAATTAAACAAAATCCCTACAAAACCAATACTTGAAAGTTTATATATTTGATCCTTATTATTTATGCGTGTCGGTGGCAAAGCGGCAGAATGCTCACCAGCCATGCAGGTGGTCCGAGGTTTGATCCCCAGCCGGGCGCACTCCTGGAACTCTATAAGCCAGTAATAGGACTTGCAAAGCCTGTAGCTTGAAGCCCTTGTTCCACTGCGAATAAAAATTTATAAAAATGAAAATCACCTCACGTTTCATAAAATATTTTAATCTTACATATTTAAAAAAATTCTTTTTCATCAACTTTAGATGTAAGCATATTCACAGTATATCAGGCAGCTTCACAAGAAGGTTGGGTTTTCATTATGTATCGTGCAATGGATTGTCTTGCCTCGTGGAAAGGAGTTGTTTATTTCATGTCTATGATATTTTTAGTCGCCTGGTTAGTCAAGGTAAGACTAAAAGTAGTTTGGTTTGAATTTTGTATTTATATAAATATGAATATATATATATATACATATATTATGACAGCTACACTGTGTTTTTCAAAATTTCATTATTACTGAACATGAGTTAAGCAAATGTGTATTTTCGGTAAATTCCCATTTGACTGACTGGCCGGCTGGATTCAAGAAAGAACTTTGCATAGATGTATAGTAGTTTCAGTTTTCACTCTCCCTCCATGTGACACACGAAGCCAGCGAGGACAGGAAAGTCAGAGACACAAAGAGTGGACGCGTCTGTGCCAGCCATTGAGAACGATTCTCAGCTATATCACAAACTGTCGCTAGCCGTCACTGGTCCTCACCATCGACAGGATCCTAAACAAAGAGTCACTACCAACCCACATGGCTCAACTTAACTGATAAAGATTTCAGCGACTGCTTTCATGTTTTCACTTGACCATCACTAGCTATTTTGTAGCCTAATCTTGTATCGGCTAACACTGCTTGTCGAGGAAGGCGATGGCTAGAAATGCGTAACACATATTCCATCCATCTTAATCGATGTATCTCCAAAACTTCATAGACTGACTTCGCCTCCCTACCTAACACTCGACGCATAACCTCCACATTACTCACACTATTACGCCACCCAAACTCAGGGGATATTACTCAGACACCTATGATCATAGACACCTAGTGCTTTCATGTCTTCCACTTTCAATGACCACGTCTCACTGACAGCCATAAAGGAGGGCGGAGCAAACTCTTGCGCCGTACACACGCCCTTTGACCGAAATGATGTAGACTGGCAAGTGCTAGACATGAGCCTTCTATATCCATGCTTTGATAACACCAGCGATCAGCCCACTGAGGCTGAAGTAGTCGATATGTACTGTATACCATTTCAATTTCCATCTTCAAGATGGGACTCGATGTAGTCCAGTCCAGTCCTGTAGGATCATCTTACATTTCACAGGAACGAATTGCATGCCAAACATTCAAAGACTGCTGCAAAAGTTTTTCAGAAGACTCTGCTTGGTTTTGTCAGCGTCTTCACCTAGAAGGACTATATCATCCGCATATTCCAAGTCAGAGAGATTATACCCTGGTAACAAGTCAACCCCTTAGTCGTTGAAGCCAGTTAGGATTAAGTGGATTAGTACATCTATAGTTAAACTGAACAGAAATGGAGACAGTGAGCACCCCTGACAGACACCGCCGTTTATCACCATTTCAGATGACAACTGTCCTCAGGTTCTTACGTGGTTTTACACTGACATAATGAAATATTAGTCATAGGCACCTGAATTATTGTGGTTAATAAAATATATGACCATAGGTGTAAATTAAAGGATTACGATCAAGGTGATAATCATAATTTTTTTATTATAGCTTGATTCCACACCATACTTTTTGGTACAGGTATGGAATTTTCAGCATGTCATATCGGTAGCCCAAATTTAGCAGACTGACCATAGATATCAGGTGTGCGTCGGCAGGGGATCAAACCCCTGACCATGTGCATGATCGGCGAGAGTCATAACCGCTGTGCCACCGACGCACAAGGATGAATTCATTCAAGTGTAAACGCAATCTAGGCAATGGTGGCTGTATAGACAGAATGTGTATACTAGTAGTAGTAAAGGGGAAAATAACAATAAACAATCTATCTCCTAGAATCCAGTTCACTTCGGAAGCAGAATCAGACACCGGTGAACTAACATTTCTAGACTGGCTAGTTTAGAGGAAGGAAAACGGACATCTTGGTATATCTGTATTCAGGAAAAAAACCCACTCCAACGAAAAATATTTGGGCTTCAGATCATCACACACCATCAGCTCAAAGGATCAGCTGTTTCAAGTCTTCTTAGACAAGCATACTCTTTGATGTTAACGGATGACAGAGAAAAAGAAGAAGAAATATTAAACATTACTGATACTCTCAGGGAAAATAACTACTCAGAGAACTTCATCAACAAAATCAACATTGACACTAAGTATGGTGGAAAACGTATTCCGAAAACATGAACCTCAAAAGCTGTCATTCCATATAGAGCAGAGACGTCAGACGATATCAGAAGAGTACTCAATAAGGTCGACATCAGAGTTTTCTTCAAGACATTGGAAAAACTGCAAAAAACCTTGTCCGTATAAAAGACGAAATCCCTAAATATTTTATATCTAATTGTGTATATAAAATAAAATGCTTGCTTGGAATGTATGTGATGCTATATACACCGGAAAAACACCGCCAGAGAGAAATCAAAATCAGAAGAAATGAACACAGTAGAGCATCTGTTCGATCACGAAGAAATTCAGTTGAAATAGAAAAGCTTGAAAAATCAGCAGTCATAGATGGTCTACACCCTATAGAATGAGGCCACAAAATTAATTTCGACAACATTGAAATCATCATGCAGAAAAGCATTTCAGAAATCACAGAGAACGTCTAATATCATCAGAAGCACTTCATATCAAGTGGAATCCAAATTGTCTGAATAGGGATGATGGACTAAAACAGAATTTGACCTGGTTACAACACCTACCTACCTCACTCCATGAAATGACAAAATCAACACGCATATGATAAGCAATTTCATTATGTAAACACACACTGCTTTTATAATTTTACACACTGATCAAATCCAACAATCTACACATGGTTTTGTCATCTTTACCAAGTGGCCAATTTGACAATGGAAACTTGATCCCATGCTGAGGAACAATGATCAGGTTGTTACATATAAGCGGAGGAGATTTTGTAAATCTGGTTTAATAATGCCACAGTGATGAAGCTATTAGCATTAAATAGTGAAACGTCAGTAAAAGCAACAATATCGTTTTGTTTTTCATTCATTCACTGGGAAATGTAAAAAAAACCTTTATTATATTGAATATCATATACCCAATGCTCAAAAGATTGTTTCAAATAGCTAAAAGTGAACTTGCTTGGACATTTATGAATGATAATAATAAACTGTGAAACCAAGATCAAAATGTACAACCGCATTGTTAAGACAGTTAGCAGTACAAATAACAATAAAATAATTAGATAATGTCTTCTGAACACCAACCTTGGGTTGAAAGATTTTTTATGACCAAAGGTGCAAGAGAATTGGATATGTGTACCTGACTCCGTCGTTCATAAAAGACGCGGCTACTGAGTTAATGGTTGTGTTTAAAATTCGTCACTGGTTTTATAATTCCACCATAAGTGAAGAAAAGTAAGCTACCGAGTCTTGTGGAGACAGTTACATAGATAGAATGGCTTAGAAATCCTACCATCGCATTCTTGAACCCTGTCAATCAGGAGCTGGTTACTGGTTTACCTAGTAGATACAGAGTAGAAGACTCACAAATGCTCAGATTGTACAAATCTATAGAAGTTGCCACGTAAATTCTCGAAATCTGTATACCTTCAATTGCTAAAAATAGCCGAGTTGGTTGCTATGGCTTTCAACAGCAACCTAGGATAGTTATCGATCCCGGTGACAGGGGATATTTGGAAATATTATTTGCTTTTGTCCTTCTAACTTCATTATCCATATCATACTGCGATACAGGTGCATATTTTAATCTTGGTTTCACAATTTTTTAAATTATTGTTCCACTTACATTTCTCCTTGATTATATTTAATTCTATTGATCCATGTTGTCTTTCAAATGTCTATGAATGCATATTATATTGTGTGACTGTAGCAAGCCTGATGAGAATTTAACCGAAAATACGTATTAGCTTACTTAGCTTGTGTTCTAAAATTATCTTTTAATGGGAATATTTAAATGTCATTATAATTATTATAATAATAATGCTATAAATTTAGAATGAAGTGAATTGTAATATTGAATTAACTTTCCTTATTGTCAAAATACTGGTATTAGTATTATTATTATTCCCTTGGGTTCCGAGTCCAAAAAAGGGTTTCAACAAAACATCTCCACTTTGTTCTGTTCTGTGTTGTCCTCTTCAGTTGGCTAGCCTCACGATTGCCGATTATCTGTCATCTCCTCATCCTCCATGACACCGACCACCCACTCTTCACTGCTTCTGATTGGGATTCCACTCGAGCAATGGCCTGCATTGAGCGCGATGTCACTCTTCGACCTTCTCAATGTATGTGCGATCAATCCATCTCAATTTTCTCCTACATGTTTGTTCAGCAATCGCTCTCGCCTGTTGGTTTGTTGCCAGCCAGAGTTTCTTTTTGCTAATTCTTTCTGACCAGTTGGATGGCCATTTGATTTTCAAAATGGAGCCGGTCACGAGGGCAGAAGTTGATAATACTTTGTACTATATTGGGAATCCTTTTCGTGATGCACAAGCAGTGCAAATTTCTGACCCATATAGAAGAGGTTGCTGACTGACTGACTTTACATGTGTGTTGAAAAGAATCCGAATCTTCTTGTTTATGGTGAGGTTCAGTGGCAGGAGAGGATTTGTAAACTGGTTTCAGGTTGATGAAGGCGTGCGTATGTTGCCTTTCCGATTCTGGCTGGCTGACTTGCTGGCTAGCTTTGACATCTTCATCCGTTGCTCTGGCCTGTATTTGAATCAATGCTTCTTGGCTGGATCAGTGAAGGAAGCGACCTCTGACAAATATCTCTCTTCGATGGTGATTGGTGCTGGCTGTTGTTGTTGCTGTTGGCTGGTTGGTTACTTTTGTCCCCTTCGTCTTGTCTATGTCCACCTGGAGTCATGTCTTCACGGGCTGTTTCTTGAGCCGGTTTGTTGGTTTTCGCCTGCAATACTGGTAATTAATAATAATAATAATGGCTTGCTGTATTCCAAAACAGTACACATGATAGAGCGTAGAATTCTCAGTATTTCATATAGTGTTGCATCTAATTTACTGAACAACGATAATAAAACACAGTGTTATACAGTAATATTATTTTAAAATTAGGCGAAATAATATAATTTACAAAATTCCTTGCAATGACTGTGAGTGAGGTCAACTACATAGGTCAAACTAGTAGGTCGGGAATAATCAGATTGTGGGAAAACAAAAGAATTTAGCTAAGGTAAGAATGGCTGACCCAACTCGCGAAGATAGGTAATTTAGAAAAAAGCTCAGTATTACATTGCACTGCATGTATTAACACACAACCACACAATAGCATGGTGGGAGAGAGTTAAGATTCTAAGAAATAATATAGGTAGGTGGAGACAGAGATTGACTGCTGAGTCCTGGTTCATTGAGTCTACACCGAACACATACAACAGAAATGACTCAGTGCAAATACCAGAAATATGGAAGATATTATTACCGCCAGTCAAATCAGAGGAGGATAATAAATAATCTTATTCACTTACATCACAAAATTCTAACAAGATGCTTATTTTGACTATATAAGCACTCGTTTTATTTCCCGTCTGATTGTAATTGATCAATAACACTCATATTATTATTTCTGAATGTACTTTATCGTATATTGATTTTTACTCAAATGTCTAATCAGTTGTGTGAGTAACTTGATATGATTATGAGCAGCAATAATTTGTGCTCGAGACGTGGTCATCAGTTAATATTACTGTATAACAACACTGTGCGATTTATCAAAATAAAATCTTATCCATAATGGAGGTATAATCTACCAGAAAGCCCAAGTTTTACACTTATATCAATGACAATAAAACACTGCAGGGTATATTTAACCAAAATTGATAATAGCAGCTTTTTGGCACTAACAGTGACACTAAAATTTAAAAAATGTACAAAAAGTGCAAAATGACGGTGATAATAATGCTAGTAACTAAAATCATAAGATAATTAATTGAAACAGTCTCTATAAATTACAAATAGGAGAAGGTAGAAGAGTCATTTATTCTCCTAACTAACTACATAGTAAGTTATAATTTTCACACTTAACGTTGTCTTTATCGCGCAGAACGCGGGTGGGCAAAACGGAGTATAGTTGGCGTATTGTACTTAGTTTTGCTAGCCAGCATGTAATCTTTTATAATAACTTCTGATCCTACCTGATGAGATGCAAGGCAAGATAAGTCGCGAATGCAAAGTACTGAGAGTCAAACAATATGGATTTCGATCATTTCTGATATCGGTTCAAGCGTCTATCGACTACGATAGTAATGAGCCGTCTGACTTGTTGCCACACCACCTGCCCTACTGACAACCTTTATTACCCTTAGAAATATGACGTAGTCCTTTGTGAGTGACAGCCCACGAAAGACTAAGGAGTGAGTAGCATTAAAGAATAACATGTAAGATGCAATAGTTAGCATATTGTAAAAGCAGACTTTGAGTGAAACCTTAATGTTTTAACTTCTGAATGTAAAAGGTTTGACATAAGATTTTCTAAGAAATCTATAAGACATGGGATGACTAATGACTGCCACAGGATTGAACCATTCCATGGCATTTCATGCTTGACTTAGATTCTATTTCAGTGAACTAACAAGTTAGTGTGGATCACGATAGTGCATGAAGGTGAGACGACTTAGAATGTTTCGATGGAAGAATATCCCCCAGCCACGCAAATTGTTCTAGTTCAATTGCATGCAGACGTAAGCTTAAATGCAGTCTAATTTCCCAGCCTATAATGAACCCACAAATAATGGAAGTTTGGCCAAGAGGGTAGCAGTCCCATTACCACCGCTGAAACTTCAAGTATAAAACCCCATTTTCACTTGAAACTTGCAAAAAATGAAAGGAAAGTATAGTTTTTTAAGTTAAATGAGTTGGACTTCTATTCGGAGTATACTAGTTTGTCAAACAACTATAAGAATTTGTGAAAATAAGATCTGTTGCACATGAGGTAACTCTCGTGGCTCAGATGATCTAGTGGATAAAGCTTAGGAGTTTGAAAATACGAGCACTGCGTCCAAGCCTTGGAGGGAACACCGTTAATCAGTGGGGATTACAGGCACACCTAGTTGACAAGTTCCGAATACGGCGAAATGAGCATCCTGTATTCCACTGCTAATCATCATCCATTAATCGACTTCAAGTTGAATGACCAGACGTCGTCGAAGCATCTGCACAAGGAGCCGACATGCCAACCACTTGGTTCCAATCAATCATCGGGCAAATCTATATTAAAGTAAATGGTGGAAACATATTCATTACACAGTTGTGATAACGTGCGTTTCTAATTTATTTAACTTTCTTTTTCACATTTATTCCTTTAGAATGTATTCATTGCTGTTCTGATTGAAACATTTGCTGAAATCAGAGTACAATTTCAACAGATGTGGACACCAAGACACACTGCAGATGCAGATTCATCAAAGGTATGCATTTTTTTAAGAGATATTTTTTTGAATTTAAGAGTTTATATTTGTAAGTTATTGTATTGCATGCACAAAGGTATCCAACTCTGGAGCGGCTACGTTTGCATGAAAAGAGAAACTGTAGAAATAATAGGATACCGGTCACAGAACAGCAGTTCGTTGACCTGAAGTACTGAATTTCAAGCACTTCTTTAATGCAGTTTCTGGGTGTTGAACTTGAATTACAGTGTCTGTCTCCAGTTCTTTTGAGGGATTTCAGCTTCACCCTGGAGGTTCCTTGAACAAGATGATGGTATGAGCCCACATTTGCTTCCCTTCTAGATTTTGCGTTCAGCAGTCTGAGAATGAGATGAAATCTATCTGCTTTGTAGTGTGTCCAACAGGCGAAATCCATGTTGCCTTATACCTATCCTTGTGCTTGTACACGCTGCCTCCAATCACCAGATCATTGGGAGAGCAGAAGTCTGCCAATAATTCTCCGTTCTTATTCACTTCTTGGAGTGAGAGTCACTCAACCCTTAGTGATTTTTCTTCCTGTGTCATCTGCTCCCAGCTCGGTTGCATTCATATAACCCATTACTGTTTGTAGTTATCTGTCCTTCTTGTCTTATTCTTCCTTGTTTTCAGTCCTGTGCGTAGCATTAGATGATTGTGACCTTATTTCCCTTCGGGTTGGATCTTGCTGTCATGATCCTGCAAGAGGAAATCGGTTCCCACTGCATTACGGCTTTGGCTGCCACTGGTGACATCATGATAAGCACTCACTAGCTCAGTGTGTGTTCATGGTTGTCGTCGGAGTGACCGGAGTAAATTACTGACTCTCCAGTTGAAAATTCTGATAATCTACATGCATTCCATCTGCTCTCGCAGACACCTAGCACTTCTACGCCATATCTTCGCATTTCGTTGGCTACCTATGCAGCCTTCCCAGCCCCGTGCATTGTTAAATTACATCGTTCGGTTAGTCTGGCTTCGGAAAAACATAACAAGGGAGAGCTACATAGTTTTAATAAACTAAATGGATAAATGAATGTCTATCTCTCTACGGCCAAGGCAGAAATAGGTATTGCACATACTACTTTTGTACACAAAGTTCTGGCTTGAATTCCTGAATGGCCAAGACCTCCACTGTTTTTAGAAGCTTAGAACAAAGAAAATGAGGCTACCAAGTTCGCATAAAATCGATAGATGTTCTTAAAGTCATGATCAAGGTTGGTAGAGTGACAGAAGTCGATCAAGTGTTCTATAAAAAATAGCTTTGCACACCCTTCCGTTCTCTCTGGATGGAATTTGTTCTCATATCCATGTGGAATGCATTCTCTGACTACAACCAATATAACTTGCTTCAAAAGAGCGGGCGATTTACTGGAATTTCAATTAAAAAGAAACATTTTTAAAGGTGAGAAAAAGTCAGTAATAAGATATTACATTCCATAGTTTCGATGACATTTAACATTAGTTTTATGTGAATACTCTCTTTTATTGAAAGATGGTTTGCCTTTCATAGATGAACAGTGAAAATGAATTATAATTAAGTGATATATATCTTAAAAAATCTCTTTTTCTTCTTATATTTAAGATATTTCAATTCGATGGCCTGACGTGGAAATTAGTCCCTGTACACGAAAGTAAAGCACGTGGTTTAGCGCCAAAGTTTTTCCAAGAAGTAAGTCTCGATAAATTCTGTAATAACTGGAATGTGCATTATATCTTGAAATCATTTTTACTACATACATATTCGTACTGCTGATGTTTCTATTAAACACAAAATGATTGAGCAAAGAATATCCTTTTCGATAGATTCCTCTTCTAGCTCTTCAATTATATATATATGTTTATATACATATATAAACTGCTCCTGTGGAGCCAGTTACATAAGCCGTACAATTAGGCATGTTTCTCGTCGAATTTCCGAACATCACCCTGTGTGGTTAAGCAGAGAACAGACTAAATCTATTCTTAACGATATTCTATCTCATCTTGTGGATAAAGAACACAAGATTGACGTTAACCATGCTTTCAGGTTCATTTAACGCATATCCAACTAATCTCAATTTTGTCTTAAGAGTTCGACTTCTAAATATTCCTGAGGGCATTGGGATCCGTATTAAAAAGCCTAATTTTTGCATCCAAAAGAAGTTAGTTCAGACATTGTCCTTACCTTGGCCATCTAGGTTTGAATGATCCCCAATTTTTTGTAGCAGTTTCTTTAATTTTAGTTGATATTCTATTTGCTATTATATCTTTATTATTATCATTATAATTTAAGTATCTTTAATGAACTGTGATTCCATTGTGATATTACTTTACAAATCGATATTATTTAAAAAACACTAAAATTGGTATTGACTACTATTCTCGAATATTCTATGTATATAAACATTCATATATAATTGTAGAGCCAGAAGAGGAAATTATCGAAAAGGATATTCTTTGCCCAATCATTTTGTGTTTTATAGATGTCTGAATGAACATTCTTCCTATAGTGGTGTTTCTGTTTGGCGGACTAGTTTCATGCAAGACGATGCCAGCTTAATCTGTGATGGGAGTTGTCGGTCTAGCGAAAAGGATTAGATTTAACTGCGTGCAAATTACTGCTGCTGTAGACAGTGAGCTAGAAGGCTAACCTCTTGAGGAATAGGACAAGAATTGGATATTCGGTGTACAGTTGGTAGTTCGCTAAAGATAACCTCCAGAATCAACATGTAGTCAAGTCGGTTATGTGGTTCAGCAGTAATTCAAAGCATCACATTGGTACTTTGAAAATCTTTTCCTATGATTTTTTAATCTCTTTGCAATTTTTCTGCCTTTAAATTGACAGGACATCTTTTAGATATGAGGTTCGTATCCTGACGCTAAAAATTCTTGTTATCCAATTATTTGCATAGGAAACAGATTGTTTCTGCAAGCGGCACGTTGATACATAGAAACTATACGTTCAGTGATAAAAAATACGTTTGCCGGTTACATCGTGTTCTTCTATGCAATCAGTAAACTCTAGAATATCTCTAAGAGAATAGTTATAAAATTGCCCGCCCCCTATAGGCTCTCACTTTTCAGACAACCATTTTACAGTAACCCCAACATATCTAGAGTTGATCTAAGTGATGGACCAGGTTTTTGCACCTTTCGCAGGCCATAATGATTCTGTTGGTCTCAGGCGTTCCAAAAGATCATCGCCTATCAGACATTCACGATTATTTCTTCTGAGAGAATCTGTCAGTTGTTGTTCACTCAGTTCCGATGACACAAATTTAGGAAATTTTAATTCTTAGTTGTCTGACTGGCTTCAGACAATCAAGACCAAGAACTGGCTTCATTTAGAGAAATGTTGATTACCTGGGGTGAACTGGACCACGTTTCGTCCTAATTTTGATACCCCTCAGGGGTAAGCGTCCATATCCTGACCATGGATTAAATGCATAGCCTACAAATTACTGGACAAGCTCACTGACCATTCAGCTGCTGGGACGATCAGTCAGTTTTGCGATTTATGGCGCGACCTCCACGTATTGCACTTCACACCCAACTTGGTCACAACTTCCAACACTAGAAGTTCAGGCAAGTTCATCAACCTGTTGTCAGTTATTCCTAAGAACTGGATTAATTGTCAGGCGTTCGTTTGCAGGTACCTAAATTCCCCAGTGAGTGAGTGAGTGATAGTACTGCGATTAAGAATCGACCCCAGTAGCCATCGTTTATAACGCCTAAATTATTATCCACTGAACCATTTAAATTAATCTCTATAAGAACACATTAGACTGACTGTAAACGACGCATTTTAAAATCCTTCCAAAGACACCTTTTTATAATGAATAGCCTAGCAACATGTTGGTTAATTTCAACCACACGTTACACCAAAAAAAGATTTCATATATAGACAATGACTGAAATTATCAATGAAAGGTTAATGTACCTTAGTGGTATTTTCTTTCACACGGCATAAATGCAACGTCAAATTGTCTGGAACATCCCTCCTGAATGATATAATCGTAGTAGTGATACTTATTTCAATGTTCCAACTAACTTTGTAATTATTATCACTTTTACTCCTAGACTGTATATCATATGTTCATTTGAAGGCCGTTGTTTCCCTCTGTCCTCGCATATTCTCCAGTTGTAATGCTTCTTTTTGTGGTTCTACGATACATTGATAATGTGATGTGATTTTATTTTAATGAAGGAGGGTCATTCTGACCATTGGACTGTCTGTAAAAAATTCTGGTGTTGTGATTCTTGTGTACAGAGTTTTTATCCCACCTTGTTGGGAAAATTTCACTTGATTCCAAATGCTTGTTTTGTACTAGAAAGTTCTCATTGACTGGATAGTTGCTTAACAGTACTGTTGAGGAAATCCCGAGATTTTGACGTCAGTATTGTTGAATAGAGCCACAAAGATCTATCAAGAAATTTGTCATCTTTCAGCAGTGTCTGGAGCGTTTTGTAGACTGTGTGTGGGAAGCAGATATCGACTCCCTGAGTTATAACCAAAAAGAGTCGGTTTTAGCTAGGGATACATTTATATATATGTATATATATTATGGAACATTGATACCGTTATTTGACCGTTGTATTTTATATCCTAGAGACCCATTTATTCTGCAGAACAGCAACAGACAAACACTACACGATTTCATCATGAGCTGACGTCGGTTACAGAACCATTGGAAATCCAGCTGGGAGTATTGGACAGCTGTTTCGTCCTGATTTGGGTCTCTCCAGAAGTATGCGCGCACTGGGGTTCGAACCCCGGACCTTATAGTTACAAGACGAAGTCGCAGACTCTTAAGCCATTGGGACCTAATCCAATGACCAGCCCACGAATTCCAACTTCTGCCAATCCAGTGCTCTCTGCAGGGTTCTCTAACCGACGTCAGCTCATGATAATATCCTGTAACCAATCAATCAAATCACGACAAATCAATACTTGAAATTAAACACTACATCTGTGCAAGTGTACGTGTATGTGCGCGTGTCTTTTTTTCATACTTAATAGACCCCGACCGATAGCTGCTACCGCTTGACTTATTTGGGAAGTACCATCAACCCTAACTGGTTAATCTCTGACAAAAAATCAGTACGGATACAGAGGGCTAGTTTCGCATATACCAGTTTACGCCGTCTCTGCCGTAGACGTGATATCCGGCTAGCTATCGACCAAAGGGTGTGTGTACTGCTCAGCAGACCGCTCCGTCCTCCTCTATGGCTGGCTGTGAAACCTGATCGTTGAGACTGGAAGACATGAAAAGATTAGCTGTCTTCAACGAAAGGAGCCTGCGTTCAATCTCGCGTGTGAAGTGGTATAATAAGATGAGCGATATTGAGGTTAGGCGTCGGTCGACCGCTAGGTCAGGAGAAGAAATCAATCGACGAGGCTGTGAAATTACATTGACTGAGATGGTTAGGACATCGCCTTCCTCTAGGGGCAATGTTAGCTGATATAGGGTCAGGCTGGAAAAGAGCTAGTGGCGGTTAAATCAAAACATGCCTTCATCAGTCAATGAAATCTGCAACAGTTAGTTTGAGCCACGTGGGAAGGTGTAGACTTCCTGGTTGGGTTCCTCGGGACGGTAAAAATCAATAAAGGCTGGAGACAATTGGTGACATGGTTCAAAATCGTTCTCAATGGCGCAGATGCATCCACTCCTTGTGACTTATGATTTCCAATGAAACTATATTGTTCTTCGTTTTTACTATTCCTTTTGTCTCACACCTCTGTTTACTGTCTCCATTATGCATTTCTTCTACTTTCTTCTCTTGCTTTGTGTGCTACAAGAAGTGGAGTGTGGCAACTTGAACTGCTGCACATCGATGCGAAGTTCTAGGTCGTAAACAGACAGACAGACCCAATAGACATTGCTTTCAACAATAGAATTATCTTCCATTTTGATAAATAATGGTATCCTGAACTAAAAGCGAAACAGAATACTTGAATTCCCTTTTCTGTTATTATATAGTATGATGATACTTGTACACACATCAGTCGCTATATTGCTTCTTCTATTTCGTCTTTCTTGAAATTAAGCCTTCTGTTTCTCTCCTAGCCGCTTTACCTCTAATCTTTCTATGGTTAGTCTTGTGAATTCATTTTTGATAATTTTTAGTCACAATATGAAAATGTTAAAAACAAAACCATTTGCTTAACAGAGGAGACATTTGTCTCTAAAACCCGTACAACCCACATGTATATATTAATGCATATATATGAATATGTATGTTAAGATATGGTCGAATGTGGTAAATACTAGGTTTGACGAAGAGTGGATCAGACAATTGTCGACAGGAATCAATAGGGGAAGAAGAGAGAGAAAAAACACACAAGTCTTCTACTGTTTTTAGTACTTACTATCCATGACAATATTATTATTCCCCTTCAACAACATATAAATGACAAAATGACAGTGCAGAAATTGTTTCCTTTTTGACAAGATACACATTTGGACAATTTAAAAATAAAAAAGGTTTCTGTTTTCCGTTGTATTTGTTAGCTAAAGCATAAAACAAAACAGAAAAGAATATAAAATTGAAGGTATACAGAAGTCGAGATAAATATGTTTTAATATTTATATTATTTACCTCTATATATATATATATATATATATATATATATATATATATATATACAGAAAATCAAAACAAATGATTCAGCGAAGAGACTCTTTTCAA